TGGGGCTCTCGGAGGCGAACCTTGAAGTGCTCAAAGGTGCGGGCATTGCAAGCTTTGGAAAGCTCTGCTTCAGTGTCAGTGCCTCGCCTCACACAATTACTGATGCCACGTTTGATGCTTGGATCCAGCGCTTGTGGCCCGGGCCAGCTCCGTCGGAGCAACAGCAGACATGCCTTAAGAAGCTTTTGTTTGAGAGTCAGACCATGTCCATGGGAGAGATCCGTCAGAAGATGCAGCCCGCATCCGAACACCTTGCTAAGCCCTTGCCTGCCTCTGAACGGCTGGCGAGGGCACAGCGACAACAGGCCCGCATCACCGGCTTAGTGTACACTCCCGAGACCACTCCTTCGCATTACTTAGTGGACTTGTTCAATGACCAGCTTGAGCAGGGCACCATAAGCTGGGTAGCTCCGGAGAAGTGTGCCTCACGAGCTGAGGAAATGCAACAGAGCAAAAAGGATCGTGCCCTCCAGCTCACCTTGGATGGGCAAATCAAGGTCCAGACCAAAACAGGTGAGGTGCGCTGCATTGCAAGTACGGATTCAAAGCTTCGAGCAGCGTGGCAGAGGCGTTCCCTTGCAATGGACATGGCTGGTCTGGCAACCTTCATAGTGGTTGAAAGGTGGGTGCATCATTTGTTTGCTACCTTCGCGAGGGAAGTTCCTGATGGCTATGCACCCATCCAGCTCAGGCAGTTGGTGGAGGCGGACAAGAGGCTTTTCATGCTGGCAGCAGAGTGCCTTCCGGCTGACCTCACGGCTGCGAGAGCTGGAGAGGAGACACCTCTTGACAAGCAGATTGGCTTGCTTATGTACTCACCTGAGATTTCACAGTACTTGGTTCCCCTGCCCAAGCCGCCTGTGCCTCCACCGCCATCGTTGCCGTCGAAGCGTGTGCTGGAACCAAACATCGATAAGAACTTCATGCGGAAAGCTTGGAGGGGCAACGGGAAAGGAGGCAAGGGGGAGGAAGCAAAGGAGACCGATCCCGCCAAACGCTTCAACCTCCCCGAAGGCTGCTGTGATCGGAATGACAAGAATCAGCTGCTTCTTGTGGAACCAAGGTAAGTGCAAATGGAAGGGCAAAGGCAAGAGGTGCAACAGAGGCTTCCACCAGTGCTATCTTCGCGGTTGCTATCGCGACAAGCCTTACACTGAGTGCACGCATAAAGACTGACAGCCTGCGGCGCTGCAAGCTAATGATTGGACCCCGGAGGCTATAGGCCGAGTCTCCATCCTGCTGAGGACCTAGCTCGCAGTGCCCTCCTTAAAGGCCAGGTTCGCAAAACCGATGTGCTTTCAGTTTTCGAGCTCCTCCCTTCGGGAAATAATCCTAGGGGGTCCGCTGAAGCTTCCAAAGCTTTTGTCACAGGTGCTTACGTGCATGGGAACATGATTTCCGTTACAGGCACTTTAAAGAATTTTCCTTGGTCGTCAGAGTTGCTGACAACCTTTGCAAGACTTCAAGCGCCATCAGTAAAATTTTCTTCTGTCGCTCTTTTTCGCAACAACCTGACAGTCCCACACAAGGACTCTCACAATTGCCCTCAGAGCACAAACCAGGTTTTTGCCATTTCAGATTTTTCAGGCGGCCGGGTCGTTGTACAGGACCCCATGGGAGAACAGACTGTTCAACATGATGACAGCGAGTACCGTGGACGGGCTCTCCCTTTCAACAATGGCATGATCCGTTTTTCTGCAAAGTACACCCTGCACTGGACGGAGCCCTGGCAGGGAGATCGAGTTGTGCTTGTTTCATACACCATTCGTCAATCCGAGCATCTTTCCTCTGCAGACCGGCTGTTGTTGCAGCAGGCCAAGTTTGCATTGCCTGGGTCGCGGGCCCTGTCACTTCGTGCCCCTTCCCCTAAGGTTCCTAGGGATCCTAGCGCCCCCCTAGACCCTTCGGGTTGCCCACCGATGCCTCAGGCTCCACCTGAGACCTCCAGCCAAGCTGTTGCGTCCCAGCCCGGTGAGGCTCCTTGGGCGCTTGAATTGTTCTCGGGGAAGGGTCGGAAGGGTCGCCTCTCCCAGCAGCTTCTGCGCGCGGGTTTTTCGGTGAGTTCTTTTGATCTTAGGATAGTTCATAGTCTTGTACCGGTGTGCAAAATTGATTTGGCGTCCCAAAAAGGGCAAAAGTTCGTGTGGTCCTTGATGGACTCCTGCAAGCCTGCTTTTGTTCACTTGGGGCTTCCAGCCGATACTTGCAACATGCACTCAGGCTCAGCCAAGGCCCTTCGGTCCGTTGCTGAGCCCTTTGGTCAAGCTCAGGCTCTCTCTTCGCCTACAGAAGGGCCCCGGCTGGAGGAGGCGAACCGCCTTTACAAATTTGCCTTTGATGTTGCTGCCTTCTGCATCAAGCATGACATTGCTTTCTGCATTGAGAATCCCCCAGGCTCGCATGTGTGGCAAATTCTGGCTTCGCTGGCCAAAGCTTCCGAGGACCCCCTTTTGGCGAGCCATTGGGGGCGATTGGAGTCGGTCTCCTTGCATGCTTGCATGTTTGGGGCCACTAGAGCCAAGCCCATTCGTCTCTTGTGTCCTCGGGGCCTGTTCACTCGTCTTGCACGGCCATGCGATGGTCAGCACTTCCATAAGCTGTGGTTACATCGAAGGTCCTGTGCTGAAGTTGCTGAGGATGCCTCCTACCCACTCGACCTGTGTGCAACAATGATCGCCCAGCTCCTTGACTTCTTGCGAGGCCGGTGCAAATCCCTCCCGGTGGCCCCACGGTTGCATGATCATTCATTGGCATCCCTCGGTGTGCAACCGCGGCGCTTCAGACCTTTGATCCCCGAGTACCGCGAGGTTCTTTGCCTGCCCCGTGCCCAGCCGCTGCCACCTGGGTCAAAGGTTCTGTCCTCTAGCCAGCTGCAGGGGGTGAGTGTGGCTAGTTCAGTGATTCTTTCTTGACAAAGGATGCTGCCTCCCTCGCTAGACAAAGGAGCGCTTTCCTTGAGCACCTTGAGAAAAGGATAGAGCAGCTTAGGCCTCAGGAAGATGCCTTGCATGCTGCAATGCCTGAGTATATACAGGGAGTGTTAAAAGGAAAGAATCTTCTTGCGTGGGAGGAGGTCCTAAAGGATACCTCTTATCCAGATCTGGACTGTGTGCGCTTCATGAAGGAAGGGGTAAAGCTTGTGGGGTGCGAAGAGCACCCTGCAAGCTTCCCAAAGAAAGTAATCCCGGCTACCTTGACAGAGGAGGAGCTTCGTGCCACTGCAAGACAAAGGCGAGAGAGCTTGGAAACCTTAGGGCGAGGCCACCTATCGGAGGCCGACGCAAGCTTGCTAGCACAGGCTACCAACGAAGAGGTGGAGGCCGGGTTTCTAAACCGAGGCATGACTGCAAAGGAGGTCAGTGACTTCTTCGGCCATAGCAGTTGGGGTGTGGTGCGCCGCTTTGTCCTCATCCAGGATGGGGGACGAAAAGTTCGCGCAATCGACGACTGCCTGGAGTGTCAGCTTAATGCAGCGTACTCGGCAACCGTTGCCTTGCAGCTCCACGACTCCGACTACATTGCTTCCCTTGCTCTCTTCATTGCCGAGCGCCTTCAAAGCTCAAAGGCGAGTTCACGGGGCCCCTGGTTCGGCAAATGCTTGGATCTGCCTAAGGCATACAAGCAGATGGCAGTACACCCTAGGGACCGAGACTTGTGTGTCATCATGATTCAATCACCTTCGGGCGAGCCCACTTATCACATTTGCAATTCGCTGATGTTTGGGGCCTCGGCCTCAGTCTTCGCCTTTGTAAGGGTGAGTAAGACTCTGTGGTGGATCATGAACCGATGCCTCGGAGTTCCGGGGGGGTGCTTCTTCGACGATTATCCATTATTTGCACCTGCGGCAGAGGCTGCATCAGTGGACCGGGATATCTCCCGGATGCTTGACTTGCTGGGGTGGAAGCATGCAAAGTCAGGGGCCAAAGGGAAGCCTTTCGAGCCGTCCTTTGATGTGCTGGGAATGAGTCTAGACTTGGGATCAATCCGTGAAGGCAAAGTGGTGCTTGCTAACAAAGTCGGACGAGCCGAAAAGATCTTGGAAAAGGTCGCATTGGCTTCGTCGGGAAACGGCAGCTTTAGGCAGTCGCTTCAAGTGTTAATGGGGCACCTAAACTTTGTTTCAGGTTTCTTCGCTGGGCGAGCTTTGCGCCATGTGGCCTACGATCTTAACCAGCTCATGAGCGTGGATTGCTTATCTGCAAGAGATCCTTTGACAGACTTGGCCAGCCGTGTTGCTGGCATCTTGCAAAGCACACCTCCTCGGTCCTTACACTGCAGCCACACTCGTCAGCCCATTTTGGTGTGGACCGACGGGTCGTGGGAAGGAGGCAAGGCTGGCATAGGGGCTGTGGAGTGGGATACCAAATCCAAGTCCGGAGGAGTCTGGGCTGGGTTCGTTCCTAAGCGCATAACGGACTTGTGGTTGAAAAGGAATGAGCCAGATGAGGAGCAGATCATATCCCAGGTGGAGCTTTATGCCATGGCACTCATTCGACACTTGAGGCAAGCAAAGTGGATGCATCGACGAATTATCCTTTTCTGCGACAATGAAGCGGCGCGGTATGCGTCCATTAAGGGGGGCAGTAGCAGCTCCAGTATGAACCTTTTGGTGCAGGCTTGGGATCACCCAAACTTCTCGAGCCCAGCTTACATTTGGGTGGAACGCGTAGCATCCTACTCGAATGTTTCCGACGGGCCATCCCGTCAGTGCTCTGGAGATGCCCTTGCCCTTGTCGGAGAAAGCGCGTGTCACTCTTTCGATGCCACTCCCGAGCTGGAGGCGATTCTTACAGGCAGGCGCAGAATGTCCATGGGGTGAGGGTGCGCCCAGGATTGTTGATGTCGGGTCATAACCCGTTGACATCGATCCGTTATGGGCAAAACATTCTTCACCGCGAATCTCCCCCGCCTGCTTAGTAGGAAACAGAAGTGAGTGCGCTGCTGAGCCGAGGAATTATATCCTGAAATATATTCCATTGAGTCTTTCTTTGTTGCCATATGAAATATTCGATTGATTGACTGTCACCTCGTTTTGAGGAAATAATCTTTTTAGGAGAAGGGAGTT